GTGCCTTACATGACAATGCCAGATATTGACATCTCTCTGCCAAAAGGAAAGATCGAAGGCCCAGATGTTGAAATAGAGGGAGGTACTGGAGGAAAGCTCAAAATGCCTCACATGAAAATGCCAGATGTTGACTTTTTACTGCCAAAAGGAAAGGTCAAAGGCCCAGATGTTGAAATGGAGGGAGGTACTGGAGGCAAGTTCAAAATGCCTCACATGAAAATGCCAGATGTTGATATCTCTCTGCCAAAAGGAAAGATCGAGGGCCCAGATGTTGAAATAGAGGGAGGTACTGGAGGAAAGCTCAAAATGCCTCACATGAAAATGCCAGATGTTGATATCTCTCTGCCAAAAGGAAAGATCGAGGGCCCAGATGTTGAAATAGAGGGAGGTACTGGAGGAAAGCTCAAAATGCCTCACATGAAAATGCCAGATGTTGATATCTCTCTGCCAAAAGGAAAGATCGAGGGCCCAGATGTTGAAATAGAGGGAGGTACTGGAGGAAAGCTCAAAATGCCTCACATGAAAATGCCAGATGTTGATATCTCTCTGCCAAAAGGAAAGATCGAGGGCCCAGATGTTGAAATAGAGGGAGGTACTGGAGGAAAGCTCAAAATGCCTCACATGAAAATGCCAGATGTTGATATCTCTCTGCCAAAAGGAAAGATCGAGGGCCCAGATGTTGAAATAGAGGGAGGTACTGGAGGAAAGCTCAAAATGCCTCACATGAAAATGCCAGATGTTGATATCTCACTGCCTAAAGGAAAGATCAAAGGCCCAGACATTGAAATGGAGAGAGGTACTGGAGGCAAGTTCAAAATGCCTCACATGAAAATGCCAGATGTTGATATCTCTCTGCCAAAAGGAAAGATCGAAGGCCCAGATGTTGAAATAGAGGGAGGTACTGGAGGAAAGTTTAAAGTGCCTCACATGAAAATGCCAGATGTTGATATCTCATTGCCTAAAGCAAAGATTGAAGGCCCAGATGTTGAATTAGAAGGAGGTACAGGAGGAAAGTTCAAAATGCCTTACATGAAAATGCCAGATGTTGATATTTCACTGCCTAAAGGAAAGATCGAAGGCCCAGACATTGAAATGGAGGGAGGTACTGGAGGAAAGTTCAAAATGCCTCACATGAAAATGCCAGATTTTGACTTTTCACTGCCTAAAGGAAAGATTGAAGGCCCAGATGTTGAAATAGAGGGAGGTACTGGAGGAAAGTTCAAAATGCCTCACATGACAATGCCAGATGTTGATATTTCACTGCCTAAAGGAAAAATCAAAGGCCCAGACATTGAATTAGAAGGAGGTACTGGAGGAAAGTTAAAAATGCCTCACATGAAAATGCCAGATATTGACATCTCTTTGCCAAAAGGAAAGATCGAAGGCCCAGATGTTGAAATAGAGGGAGGTACTGGAGGAAAGTTCAAAATGCCTCACATGAAAATGCCAGATATTGACATCTCTCTGCCAAAAGGAAAAATCAAAAGCCCAGACATTGAAGTGGAAGGAGGTACTGGAGGAAAGTTCAAAATGCCTCACATGAAAATGCCAGATATTGACTTTTCACTGCCTAAAGGAAAGATCAAAGGCCCAGACATTGAAATGGAGGGAGGTACTGGAGGAAAGTTCAAAATGCCTCACATGAAAATGCCAGATGTTGATATCTCATTGCCTAAAGGAAAAATCAAAGGCCCAGATGTTGAATTAGAAGGAGGTACTGGAGGAAAGTTCAAAATGCCTCACATGAAAATGCCAGATGTTGATATTTCACTGCCTAAAGGAAAGATCGAAGGCCCAGACATTGAAATGGAGGGAGGTACTGGAGGAAAGTTCAAAATGCCCCACATGAAAATGCCAGATTTTGATATTTCATTGCCAAAAGGAAAGATCGAAGGCCCAGATGTTAAAACAGAGGGAGGTACTGGAGGAAAGTTCAAAATGCCTCACATGACAATGCCAGATGTTGATTTGAAATAGAAGGAGGTACTGGAGGAAAGTTCAAAATGCCTCACATGAAAATGCCTGATGTTGATTTTTCACTGCCAAAAAGAAAGGTTGAAGGCCCAGAGTTGAACATTAAAGTAAAGGATGTCGACATACCTTCTGTTGATATTTCACTGCCTAAAGGCAAAATCGAAGGCCCAGATGTTGAAATAGAGGGAGGTACAGGAGGAAAGTTCAAAATGCCTCACATGAAAATGCCAGATGTTGATATCTCATTGCCTAAAGGAAAAATCAAAGGCCCAGATGTTGAAATAGAGGGAGGTACAGGAGGAAAGTTCAAAATGCCTCACATGAAAATGCCAGATGTTGATATCTCATTGCCTAAAGGAAAAATCAAAGGCCCAGATGTTGAAATAGAGGGAGGTACAGGAGGAAAGTTCAAAATGCCTCACATGAAAATACCAGATGTTGACATCTCTCTGCCAAGAGGAAAGATCGACGGATCCAGCAGCACAGTTAAGGGGCCTAAGGTTAAAGGAACAAAATTCAACATTGGAATGCCAAAGAAGAAGACTTGTATAGATGTACAGACAAAAACTCAGATCAAAGGCCCAGACATTGAAATAGAGGGAGGTACAGGAGGAAAGTTAAAAGTGCCTCACATGAAAATGCCAGATGTTGACATCTCTCTGCCAAAAGGAAAGATTGAAGGTCCAGAGTTGGACATCAAAGCAACGGATGTCAGCATACCCTCTGTTGATATTTCACTGTCTAAAGGAAAGGTCGAGGGTCCAGATGTTGAAATACAGGGAGGTACAGGACGAAGGTTCATGAAAATGCCAGATGTTGACATCTCTCTGCCTATAGGAATGATCGAAGGATCCAGCAGCACAGTTAAGGGGCTAAAAGTCAAAGGAACAAAATTCAACATTGGAATGCCAAAGAAAAAAACTTGTAGAGATTCACAGATAGAAACTCAAATCAAAGTTGACACCCCAGCAGCAGAAGCTACATTGCCAAGTGTTAATCTGAAAACCCAACAAGGCCAATATGAGTTACAAACAGGGAGAGAGGTTGGGCTCTCATTGTCTAGTGCAGAAATCAAAGGCCCCAGAATCCCAGACATAGAGTTTGATATTGGTACATCACAAGATGAAGGTGATGACAGAACAGAAAAAGGCAAGAAAATCAAAATCCCTAAGCTTGGTGTGCCTCTATCCTCCATCTCCTCTCCTGAGGGAAGCATCTATGGTCCAGAAGTTAAGTATGAGAGCCCTAATCTGCCCAAAGTAAAGAAAGCTGTTTTTGTTTTAGTAAATCCTCCTGAAACAGATGAACCTGCTGTATGCTCAGGACTCCTAGAAGAAGAAACAACAGTTGAGACTGAAAGAGGAGATGTCAGTGTGAAGATGCCCAAAATCAAAATGAAGCCAAGCTTTGGGAAGACCAAAGATAAATCAGCTGCTGTAAAAACAGAGAGAGAGGGACAGGGAGAGGAGAAGCCAAAGGAAGGGAAGATGAAAATGCCCAAAGTGTCATTTGCTTCTGGCAAATCAGGGTTGTTAGATGTTACTCTCATAGGAGACCGTTCAAGTCTTGATGATGAAAAAGATGCAAGTCCTTACAATGGCTCCAAGGATGATAAAGGGACATTTAGTGGTCAAATAAAACTTCCAAAGGTGGAGTTCACTAGTCCGTATGGCAAGATGGCCACAGAGGAGGAGGTCACAAGAATGAGTATGAAACTAGGACAAGATTCATCATCAGGAAAAATAAAGGGAGATGCTGACGGGCTCAAAGTAAAACCAGGCAAGATGGCTTCCACAAGTTTCAGTGTGGACTCTCCTATGGATGTGGTGGCATCTCAAGCCAGGACAGATATGCCATGCAGAGACAGCTCAGAGTCCTCAACTGGTCATACCATGGAGGTCAGCCCAACAAAGCTCCAGACTTGGAGCGAGGTGGGGAGCAAAAGTAGAGAGTCTGAAGAAAGAGAGTCGTCGTCCTGGTTCAAGATCCCTAAGTTCCACCTGAAGCCACACTCCACAGGTAAGGATAAAAGACGCTTCAAACAGATATTCATAAAATTAGACATGGACACTTATGAAAGATTGATAGTGTCCAAGTCAAACATGTTTATCAAATACTTGTTAAAGAGGAGGAAATTACTCTCTAGTTCTCTGGAAAATTCCAAAATTGAAATACAGTATAGGTTGTCCTTTATATGACTTATTCTTTTTTTTATTTAAAGGTGAACTTCACCAATTTTATCTACTGAACCATTATTTTTACCTATTGTTACACCCCTAATATATACTATATACTGTTCATAATTTATCCTTGCTATTGCATTTGATGTTTGTTTTTATTCTGTTATTAACATATCCCCTCCTGCTTTTTCTCTGCTACATAAGACTAAGTTTCTTTTCCAGCTTCCTCTCATACACTCATCCCTCTTGATCTATCCTCTTCTTGTTTCCTTCCCTCTTCTCTCCTGCTCCGCCAGGCTTCCTCCAGATAACCCCAGAGGGCTCACCTCAGGCCCAGCGGAGGGGGGAGGTGGGAGGTGAGACCGACATCTTGGGGTCTTTCTGCCTTCACACTTCAGGTCTTGACTTTACAACCCAGGAAATGTCAGAAGAGCACCAGGTCTCCTCTGCTGAGGAAGGAACTGTCACTATGGTTACCAAGACCACCAGAATCACCCAGCACATGGTTACCAAGGAAACACAACCAGGTGAATCTTCAACAGCACCTACATAGAACTTGGACTTCAGCTACTGAGGATGCTGTGATAGTTTTAAGCCTTTTTATTTAGGTTTTCTTTGATGAGGTTGCAGTGTTCTTGTAAACTCTGCCTGCAACAGGGCAAGCCTGTTTTAGTAAAAGTCAGCATTTTAATAGGTAAGGAATGAATGTGATGGCCCAGCATCAACCAGCATTATTATAAGCACCAGAACAATATATACTTACACTTTTCTTTTTAAATGTGATTATTTTCATTATTGTTCTTCAAGTTTTATTAGTTCAGTCCTAATTATTTATCAGATTTTGTTTGGTTTTAAAGGTTTCTTCTTGAATGTAAACGTGTCAGATTTCATTATTTATTGTTGTATGTAAGTTTGTGTGTGTGTGTGTTCAAAATGTGCTGGAATTAGTCATTTACTCACGTCATCATCATGGATTATGATTAGTTCAGAATAACTCATTATGAACTACTGTAGTACAGGCCAGAGTACTATTTGTGTAAATAGATATGTCATTACTTTTTGAAATGAAATTATTTTCATATTCACCAGTCAGGAGCAGAAGTTATATCTTACAACCTGATTGCCTATTTTGTGTGAGGTTTTTGATAGGTTATTTATATTTTTATCATTTTTCTCCATAGTTTTATTTAGTTTTTTATTTTTTGCATATTGCTACTGCTGTTACCCAGAGATAGTCACAGTGAATGAGCAGGACACTCTGAACCCTTTGTCTGCTGTGGGGATCAAACCTGTGATGTTCTGGTCACAGGTTGCTCTCAAACCTTTTGGCCAACCTGCTGCTAATCTGTTTGATATTCATTTATTTACTGTACACTGCCCAGAAAAGCTACTGCTGTATTATTTGCGATTTAAGGCTTTGGCTTCAGGATACACCTGACTAGGGGTGTAACTGTTCATCAAATCAAGGGTTTGGTTCTGACTTTGGTTGTTTCATTTTGTTTTTAAAAGGAAAGGGGGTGAATAACAAAAAAAACGGGGAAACAGATGAACACACCTGTACAAGAATTGTGTAGTAAACAGAGATTAAATTAACTGATGATTTGTAGAGTACATGAGATGCCCACACATACTGTAAATGATATTAGCTATTAGCCTAATAGGCTCACTAGGGCTAACGCATACCTGCAGTGAACAGCAGACTGCGGGCAAAGCTGAAATTATTGCTTCTCTGCAAGTTTATGCTTGTTTTTTTATTTTATTATTATAAATAACTCTTACCGGCTTTTTACTTGCTTAGGTTTTATTGCAAGTACGGAACCAGTAATTGCAAACCCAGACTGTGGACAACTGGTTTACCTTTACACCCCTACTCCTGACTAATGCTTTTTTTTTTTTTTTTTACTCAGCTGTGAAATATGTTGAATTTCAAAACAGTGATAGTGAACTGGCAGGAAGTTCATGGATTTAGGAGTGCAGTGAGAGGAGATTAAAAAAAAACTCTTGACATGTTAAAATGAGCCCTTTAAATATGATGCAACTATAAGGCTACTACAGGGGGCAGAGTGACTAAGAAGTGATGGGCCTTGAATTTGTACAAAAGTCATGCAGCAAAATGTCATCTAAAGACAGAAGAGAGAGGATCAGGACCACAAGAAGCATGTTTTGTTTGATTAAAATGTCTTCAACAATCTGACACTCTTCTGTTTATCATATGCATATGTTTGGAAAAACTGCAGAATAACAATGATTAATGTCAAGTTAATAAAAAGTTGTTGTTTTTTTTTTTCAAAAAGTGTGCCCCCTACCTAAAGTATAAATTGCCTTGAAAAGGAGGAGAAAAGCCTTGTAATGTTTTTTTAAATATTTTTGTCATCTCTACACAGAGATGATCAATTCCCAACTATTTTCTGAAAAACATTTACTTTAATGCTTCTGGCATTAAATGAAACTTATTGCTGAAAACTACTGATTTTATATATTATTTATAGCTGTTTACTTAATGTACAAGGTAACAATTTCAGGGGATATAATAATCCAATTTCTCAAAATAAATAATTGTTCAAAGGATATAAAGACTTTGAGAATGAACACTATTTAATTGGTTTACTTGTAGATTAAATTAAATTGTGTGATAAAACGCACAAAATCCTGACAAATCCACTCCCACAAGCTTTTCACTAACAACCTTTAACAATATGCCTGCACTTTGTTTTGCAGGTGAGAAATAGATTTTTCACACGCTGGGATGAGAGTAGTGACATGTCAAGGTAACACGCACTGAGTGAGTAGTAACTATGTGTATAGAGATTTTTACTCTTCTGGTTTTTTAAAGTCTTTGAATTTCTTGTAGATACTAAAGGTTTGAGTGCCAAGTGTTTTGTCAAAGCTGCATTAGAGAGAATGTTGTTACATCAATAAAATAATATCCACAAAAATGTTTTAAATTGTTATTTACTAATGTCTTGTTCTGACCTAGTTATGAAAGCTGTCAGGTTATTTGTGTTCCATGTGATTTTCAGTGCACTCAAGCATCTGTCAGCCTGAATCATCCATCCATCTATTATCTATACCCACTACCCACCGCAGGGTTCCAGAGGGCAGGAGCCAATAGCAACTCACAATTAGGCTAAGGCAGAAAATACAGTGAGGGATGTGAGCCCATTGTTGTGGGGAAAAGAAAAACGGTGCAGGATTTAAATACAATGCACATTTACAATTTGACTTTGTAAGAAAAAAAAAATGTGCATACTATCAAATCATTTTAAACCTGTGTCCTGACTTACTGACAAAAACTAAATGACACCTGTTTTGTAATTATCACGTTTTATTTCACCATTTTGATTCAGTAACTGAAAACCTAAAGTCCTGATTGCATAAACATTTATTCAGGTGTCATCTTTGAGCAGACTGAAAAACATCATGTCCACTATGCAAATCCAGCATTTTGTTTATCATTAGATGAAACTCCAATGGGCAGGGCCACAGAGACACATTTCCCAAGATTAAATAATTACAGCTAGTCAAAGATTATCTTGAAGCATGGGTTGGATTTTGAAGCCAGTATCCAAACTACCATACACTGCTGTTCCTGAACAAAAACAAAACTGATTTTCTCGAGATATAAAAAAGTCTCCCTCCATGTAAAAATTCTTCCTCATTAAATAAGAGTTGGGCTTATTTAAACTTCATTTTACATGTCAACAATGTGACAATGTTTAAAAAGTTTGTGGTGCTGGTGTCAGAGGGCAATGAAAGCTCGCCTACACTCTGTTAAACCAGCAGATGCTTAATCCGTCATGGGTGTGTAAGGGATTTATCATTCTCACCTATTAACGTACCAAAAAACTGCACTTTCTTTGCTTTAGTAAAAAGAGCAGTTCTCTGGGAATTTATGTGAAAACATAGTATAGCAAAATAATTGTGGGGTACATATTCTCATTTTTATATTGTGGTGTTGTGGGACAGGACAGACTGTTTGCAAACCTCTTATAATGCCCCACGGGGCAGGATGTAAGTAGATCAGGGTTTTGCCGGGGAGTGTGTGTTTGGATGGCTGCTGTGCTGTTCCGAGTGTGTGACAATAAAAAGACAAAAAGACCATCTTTGTTCTCCAGGTCCTCCTTCCAGCCAGCCAGCTTTCCAATATTAAGGCTAAATCAGTCACCCAAAAAAGGGAGAGAAAGAAAAGGGGGTTTGTCTATGGATTAGCGACACCAAAGCACCCGGTCAAGTCTTACTGAAAACTGCCTCGGGGTCCTGGAGGGACTTTGGAGGAGAAAGTGATAATTATGCACATGACGTCTTCCCATTCTGTGTGTGTGTGTGTGTGTGTGTGTGTGTGTATCTACTCATGCTGTGATGATGCTGTGAGAGGCAGGCTACAGGGGTGAGTGGATGTGAGGGCAGAGTGATGCTGTATGACGAGCGAGCAGTGCCACAGAGCAGGAGGAAGTGAGAGACAAGCCTGTAGGGTCACCTGCTCTAAAGCCGCTTTCAGATAGGATGCGATATGCGCTGCGCTTGCCGCGGGGGTTGGGCACAGCACATGGGAGGAGGGCGCCAATTGCCCACATGTTGGGCGCCAGATGCTAGGTGACCAGAAAGCTTTCCAAGAGGTGGTTAGCAGGTATTAACCTGCTTTTCAAGCAGCGGACATGGATGCACAATCTCTCTGCATGTCAGCAAAATGTGTTTTATTAAATTAGAACACAGTTTTTGTCACTGCTCAGGGCAGCACACACCTGCCACCAATGAACCCAAAACATACACTGCAAAAAATGATTTTTT